GTCAGTCTTGTTTACAACCGTTGAATGAAGATAGACGGTCTAGAATTGCAGTGACTCATGTTACTTATTTTCAGACACCTGGTGCATAGGCGGTCACATATTTATTATCCGGTAGCTCATGGTTATGAAGTAACCAGCTAATAACCGAGGATTCCTAGACTAGAACCAGATAGCAATCGCTGGATGGCCAAATGTATGTACACACTCTACATGCGGACACATCTCCGGTTCAGCTCACTCCCAGATGCCGACCTCCATGAAACCGTCCTCGGTGGCGCAGCCCCTGAACATGCCGGTGCAGTTGAACCCGTAGGCCACCTCGCCGGTGCCGGACACGGCGATGAGCCCCGCAAACCCCTCATCGAGCCGCTCCTTGACGCAGAAGTCTACGGCCTCCTGCAGAGGCAGCCCCTTGTACTCCATGACGGCGGCCACGTCCCGCGCCAGCGTGGAGCGGATGATGGCCTCGCCCTCGCCCGTGCACGACACGGCGCAGTGCCCGCACGCATAGGTGCCGGCGCCGATGAGCGGCGAGTCGCCGATGCGGCCCGTCATCTTGTTCATCAGCCCTCCCGTGGAGGTGGCGGCCGCCGTGAAGCCGTTGGAGTCCACCACCGCGCAGCCCACCGTCTCCGGCGCGTAGATGCTGATGGGCAGCCCGTTCATCACCATGCCGTTGCTGTTGTTCTTCTCTGACGCGGCCGCCAGCGCGCTGCAAGTGTCGGCGCCGGCGAGCGGGATGCGGTAGTCGAAGAGGATGCTGTTGGCCTCCTTGGCGAGCTTGAGCATTCCCACGTTCTCCTCCGTGATGAAGTAGCTGTTGTCCACAACCTCTAGGCCCTGCAAACAGATCAAGTTGGAAACCAAATCAGATCAACACATTCAAATACTACAAAAAATGTGTTAACTCTCGATGCAAATAAAGATCGCGCGGCACAGTGCACAGCCACGAAATCTGCAGGCAAAGCGAGGGATTCTGTGGGAATCACGGAAACGATCCAGTTGCTGTCACTCGATGGTCTGGGGTCGACGACTGATTCGTCGGCCGGGGAGCAAGTGGCCTGGTCCCGGCGCGGCGGCTGGCATGGGCGGGGCACGAGATCCGGCCTGGATTCTGTCACCCACACGACGCGAGTGGTTCACAGGGGGAGGCGATGCCGTGCACACGTTTTCGCGCCAAAAACAGGGGAGCATGCAAGTAAAAACAGGGGTACAGTAACCATCCTAGGTTCATGGATCTGACAAGTGATCTTTGTTTAATTTAATGAGAAATAGTGCCGACCACAAGAAAGAAAGTTGTGCACATGCAGCGAACCATTTTCTTTGGCGCATGCGACAAAGATGGATTCCTTTGGTGCAGCTGCTGGCTATGTAGAACCAGCGGAAGACAAGTTTAAGTTGGTGGCGAGCTTGGAAAAACAAGGGTTTGCTTTTGGTTGTTGCGGGGCGGCTGTTGTCACCAAGAGACCCATGTGTTTCTCCACTTTTCAACTGTTAGGAAACCAGGGACATGAGGGTAAAACTATGGGGAGATTTTGTTAGGAAAATCACGGCCATGGTAGTCGGTTTGCTTGCCTTGTTGTGCTAACCTAACTCTGTCTTTTACCCGCGAGAGAAAAAACCTATCTCTGTCTTGCTGTATCTAATAAATGACATGCTTACCCAAAATGAAGCATGAAGATACGATATATGGAACAAATTACACACGGAGCCTAAGCTACTCAAAAAATATCTTGCGGGATCGAAGGAAGATGCGTCTCTGCTATGAACTGTCTTCCCCGTGCAAGCCTTTGTGCCATGCAGCTGTGTTGGTGCTGTGTACACTACGTACAGAAAAGGTTCAGCTGGACAGGACAGATGTTGTGCCGCACCCAACACGTCATATACAACGTGTCGAGCACACCACAATTTTCAAGGGTCCTTTCCACGAGAAATTTCGGCTGCATGGCATGCTACTCCGTCCGTTCTGTCACGCTCCGCAATGCCAGGCGCACGTGATTGTGTTTTCAATTAAAAATGATTTACTGTGCAGTAATTTCCGTTGACTAGATGGCCATAGGCAGCATGTTTTGGGTCACTTTCTTTGTTGGTTAGGCCATGCATGGAGCATAATTAAATAACGGAGGTTAATTCCGTATCAGAAGAAATCATCGCGGCGTTAATTGATGGATTAATTACCTGCTCGCGCGCGAAATCCTCGGCGCCGTCGAAGGCGAGGTAGGAGTGTGGAGACTTGTCCATGACGCGGCGGGCGAGGGAGACCGGGTTGCGGACGGTGGACACGCCGGAGACGGCGCCGCAGCGGCGGCCGCGGCCGTCCATGATGCTGGCCTCCATCTCGACGGTGCCAGCGCGGGTCAGCGCGGAGCCGCGGCCCGAGTTGAAGCAGGGGTCGGTCTCCAGCTCGCGCACCACGGCCTCCACCACGTCCAGCGCCGTCGCACCGGCCCGCAGCAGGTCGACGCCGACCTGCAGGCACCGCGCCAGCACGCGCTTGGCCTCCTCCTGGCGGTGCTCCGGCAGGTTGGGGTCCACGCCCGCGCCGCCGTGGATGGCGATGGCCCAGCGCGCCATTCGTGCGTATGGACGTGTTCTTGGTGGTGCGGTGGTGTGTTGTGCTAGGCGATGGCTAAAGCCAATGCTCTTCGATCGATCGATCTCTCTGTGTGGCTACGGCTAGTTGATATGGTGCTCTGTTCTTTGTTGGTTGTTGCTCTGTTGGTGTGTGCGTTGGAGAAGAAGGCGGGGGTATTTATAGGCGACGGGAGGGGGGTGGCTCTTCTCCGGATCCGAGACGGGCTGGTTCGCGATGCTGCGGGTTTTGGTAAGGGAATCACAGGTCCGGGAGGAAACCGTCAGGCCGTAGTAGGGCCGGATTCTTCTCTCCGGAATAGTAAAAAAAGGATTTTTGCGAGAAATATAAAATGGATTCGACAGCTGAATTTCAGAGGCTGCGTGATTTGGGTCCGGTTGATTCAGCACGGGGCAGAGGCAGAGCATTTCGTTGGTATGAAGTATGATGTCTCTCCTATGACAAAACGAGTAACAACTCAAAAATAAATATGCAAAACGAGCGAGATTGCTTCATGGTAAAAGCGAATACAAGTCAACAGGAAGATTCAGTGCCTCGGACAGTATGTACCGGTGAATTTACTCAATCTCACGGTCTAGGCCAGAACAGTGACGCTGACGATATTGTAGAAAATGTTGGCGGCATTCTTCTAGTGCCAAATAATTCCATGCCACAAAATGATTAACTTTCTTTTTGAAACTAGAAAATGATCAACTTGAACTACTCCAGTAAGTCCCACAAAATATGCATTTAAGCACTGCTGGTCCTGGAACAAAATATACATCTATGCTGGTAGTGCAGCCGGCTGCAACCAACCGCGTGTGGGATCCTGTCCGAACAAGTGTAAGCGCATCTCTAATCTTGACCCTTAAATTTTCTCCCGGGTCCGTCCACGGACCGTAGGGAGAGGGGACTTGTCTGTGGACACGGATGCGAAAGCCGGCCGGCCAAAACTAAAAGCATATGCCCGGTTACATTTTAAATGGAATTTAATGAAAATGAACACATTTGATTCAAACTCAAGCAAACCTGACAATGTTCATTCATATGTGGATAATTTATACATAAAACCGGATGCTTTTCATCTAAAACGGAGCAAATTCCTTACTTTTAGAATATTTCAACTATTCCGGACTCTAGACCTAGCCTAAAGTGACAGTCGGCGCCCATTCCCCATCTCCCGCTGGCCATGAGTCCAATAAAATGAAGCTCCGCCTCATTTTCCGCTACCGCGAGCCCCGGGAGCTGAAACTATCGGCCTCCACATCGCCCCCAAGCGGCTAATCGACCGACGATGTTGAGGCCGCCAAGCTTGGCTTCAATGGGAGGGAAAGAGTGGTGGGCTTCCTGGGACCCGAGTGTTGGGGAACGTTGCAGAAAACAAAATTTTTCCTACGGTTTCACCAAGATCCATCTACGAGTTCATCTAGCAACGAGTGATTGGATTGCATCTACATACCTTTGTAGATCACGCGCGGAAGCGTTCAAAGAACGGGGATGAGGAAGGCGTACTCGACGTGATCCAAATCACCGGAGATCCTAGCGCCAAACGGACGGCACCTCCGCATTCAACACACGTACGGTTAGCGTAACGTCTCATTCTTCTTGATCCAGTAAGGGGAAAGGAGAGGTTGAGGAAGATGGCTCCAGCAGCAGCACGACGGCGTGGTGGTGATGGAGCTGCAGTACTCCGGCAGGGCTTCGCCAAGCACTATGGAGGAGGAGGAGGTGTTGGAGAGGGAGAGGGAGGCACCAAAAGCAAGGGGGTAAGAAGTCCTCCATCTCCCCACTATATATAGGAAGGCCAAGGGGGGGGGGGCGCCGGCCCTAGGAGAACTAATCTCCTAGGGGGGTGCGGCCAAGGGGGGGAATCCCTCCTCCCCAAGGCACCTAGGAGGTGCCTTCCCCTCCTAGGACTCTTCCTTTAGGGTTTCCCCCACCCTAGGCGCATGGGCCCAAGGGGGAAGTGGCGCACCAGCCCACTTTGGGCTGGATCCCTTCCCACTTCAGCCCATGGGGCCCTCCGGGATAGGTGGCCACACCCGGTGGACCCCCGGGACCCTTCCGGTGGTCTCGGTACAATACCGGTGACCCCGAAACTTGTCCCGATGGCCGAAATAGCACTTCCTATATATAATTCTTTACCTCCGGACCATTCCGGAACTCCTCGTGACGTCCGGGATCTCATCCGGGACTCCGAACAACATTCAGGTTACTGCACATACATATCCCTACAACCCTAGCGTCACCGAACCTTAAGTGTGTAGACCCTACGGGTTCGGGAGACATGTAGACATGACCGAGATCGCTCTCTGGTCAATAACCAACAGCAGGATCTGGATACCCATGTTGGCTCCCACATGCTCCTCAATGATCTCATCGGATGAACCACTATGTCGAGGATTCAAGCAACCCCGTATACAATTTCCTTCGTCAATCGGTATGTTACTTGCCCGAGATTCGATCGTCGGTATCCCAATACCTCGTTCAATCTCGTTACCGGCAAGTCACTTTACTCGTACCATAATGCATGATCCCGTGACCAGACACTTGGTCACTTTGAGCTCATTATGATGATGCATTACCGAGTGGGCCCAGTGATACCTCTCCGTCATACGGAGTGACAAATCCCAGTCTTGATCCGTGTCAACCCAACAGACACTTTCGGAGATACCCGTAGTATACCTTTATAGTCACCCAGTTACGTTGTGACGTTTGGCACACCCAAAGCACTCCTACGGTATCTGGGAGTTACACGATCTCATGGTCTAAGGAAAAGATATTTCACATTGGAAAACTCTAGCAAACGAACTATACGATCTTATGCTATGTTTAGGATTGGGTCTTGTCCATCACATCATTCTCCTAATGATGTGATCTCGTTATCAATGACATCCAGTGTCCATAGTCAGGAAACCATGACTATCTGTTGATCAACGAGCTAGTCAACTAGAGGCTTACTAGGGACATATTGGTGTCTATTATTCACACATGTATTATGATTTCCGGATAATACAATTATAGCATGAATAAAGACAATTATCATGAACAAGGAAATATAATAATAATGATTTTAATATTGCCCCTAGGGCATATTTCCAACAGTCTCCCACTTGCACTAGAGTCAATAATCTAGTTACATTGTGATGAATCGAACACCCATGGAATTCTGGTGTTGATCATGTTTTGCTCTAGGGAGAGGTTTAGTCAACGGATCTGCTACATTCAGGTCCGTGTGCACTTTACAAATATCTATGTCTCCATCTTGAACATTTTCACGAATGGAGTTGAAGCGACGCTTGATGTGCCTTGTCTTCTTGTGAAACCTGGGCTCCTTGGCAAGAGCAATAGCTCCAGTGTTGTCACAGAAGAGTTTGATTGGCCCCGACGCATTGGGTATGACTCCTAGGTCGGTGATGAACTCCTTCACCCAAATTGCTTCATGCGCTGCCTCCGAGGCTGCCATGTACTCCGCTTCACATGTAGATCCTGCCACGACGCTTTGCTTGCAACTGCACCAGCTTACTGCCCCACCATTCAAAATATACACGTATCCGGTTTGTGACTTAGAGTCATCCAGATCTGTGTCGAAGCTAGCGTCGACGTAACCCTTTACGACGAGCTCTTCGTCACCTCCATAAAAAAGAAACATTTCCTTAGTCCTTTTCAGGTACTTTAGGATATTCTTGACCGCTGTCCAGTGTTCCTTGTCGGGATTACTTTGGTACCTTCCTACCAAACTTACGGCAAGGTTTACATCAGGTCTGGTACACAGCATGGCATACATAATAGAACCTATGGCTGAGGCATAGGGATGATACTCATCTCTTCTATATCTTCTCCCGTGGTCGGACATTGAGCTGAGCTCAATTTCACACCTTGCAACACAGGAAAGAACCCCTTCTTAGACTGATCCATATTGAACTTCTTCAATATCTTATCAAGGTATGTGCTTTGTGAAAGACCTATGAGGCGTCTTGATCTATCTCTGTAGATCTTGATGCCTAATATATAAGCAGCTTCTCCAAGGTCCTTCATTGAAAAAAATTTATTCAAGTAGGCCTTAATGTTGTCCAAGAGTTCTATATCATTTCCCATCAAAAGTATGTCATCTACATATAATATGAGAAATGCTACTGAGCTCCTACTCACTTTCTTGTAAACACAGGCTTCTCCATAAGTCTGCGTAAACCCAAACGCTTTGATCATCTCATCAAAGCGAATGTTCCAACTCCGAGATGCTTGCACCAGCCCATAAATCGAGCGTTCGAGCTTGCATACCTTGTCAGCATTCTTAGGATCGACAAAACCTTCCGGCTGCATCATATACTATTCTTTCTTAAAGAAACCATTAAGGAATGCCGTTTTGACGTCCATTTGCCATATCTCATAATCATAGAATGCGGCAATTGCTAACATGATTCGGACGGACTTTAGCTTCGCTACCGGTGAGAAAGTCTCATCGTAGTCAACCCCTTGAACTTGTCGATAACCCTTAGCGACAAGCCGAGCTTTATAGATGGTCAAATTACCATCCGCGTCTGTCTTCTTCTTAAAGATCCATTTATTTTCTATGGCTCGCCGCTCAACGGGCAAGTCAGTCAAAGTCCATACTTCGTTTTCATACATGGATCCTATCTCGGATTTCATGGCTTCTAGCCATTTGTCGGAATCCGGGCCCGCCATCGCTTCTTCATAGTTCGAAGGTTCACCGTTGTCTAACAACATGATTTCCAAGACAGGGTTGCCGTACCACTCTGGTGCGGAACGTGTCCTTGTGGACCTTCGAATTTCAGTAGGAGCTTGATCAGAAGTATCTTGATCATTATCATTAACTTCCTCTCTAGTCGGTGCAGGCACCTCAGGAACATTTTCTTGAGTTGCGCCATTTTCCGGTTCAAGAGGTAATACTTCATCAAGGTCTACTTTCCTGCCACTTACTTCTTTCGAGAGAAACTCCTTCTCTAGAAAGGATCCATTCTTGGCAACAAAGATCTTGCCT